TGTAATAGAGCCCACCTGAATGCCCTGAACCTCAGGACATCCGTAAGGCCTGAGCCAAGGGTTCCATAACCAATGTGAAGAGGGGCAGGTGAGAGGACAGCCCTATCTCTTGTCCCCCTAACGACAGGGAAAGGGTCAGAAAGGTCGCCACCCAAATTGATCTGGGCTCGAGGGTAGTGTTTGACTATTTTAAAGTGGTAGTAAACTCTCTTCCTAAATCTGCTGATCTGCAGGGGTTTTTAATCAGAGACCCTAGAGGTCTCTTCTGTCATAAATGTCCCCTGCCTGTCAGCAGGTAATATGAATTGAGCTGCGCATGCTCAGCTCAGACTGCATTTATGGCCTGCTCTGTGTGCTGCTCATGCGGTGTGACTCCCCTGTGCATGCACGGGAGTGATGTCACCACAGCCCAGCCAATGAAGCAGCCAACGTTTTGGAAGTAGGACCAGGTTAACTTGAACTGTGACAGCCCAGTGTTGGAGGTCTCGGTTTGTAGGGAAGTCCTATACACGTATATGTGTTTGAACCTTCAGTGTGCTGTTTCCCCCTAAACCTTCAGGCTTTAGAACCACTTTAATTGTGTATAAAGGAATTTGGTAGGCTCAGGAGCAATGGCTAAGCCGTAGAACCTTAGCATGTTCGTAATGAGGCCCCTCTTACTTTCATACATAACTCTATAGTGTGTGTTTCATGTCTTCAGTTTGACTGTGCTCAAATTCTCATGTTGGCTAGAGATTAGTTTTGGCCTTGAGGCTTGGTTCACACTGATGCGGTGTGGAATTTGCAGCGTTTTCTGTGCAAATTCCACACTGCCTCAATCTCGCCCCGTTCATGCGAACTGCTGCGGGTTAAACCACACCCTGAAATCGGTCCACAAAACACAATGTGATGTGCAGAATCAGATCACATAGATGTGAATACCCATGCGATCCGATTCTAGTGAGGACCCAAAAGGACCCAAAAGGATCCTGCGCCTTTTTTCTTTTTTTTTTTTTTTTTTTTTTTTTTTTTTTTTTTGCGCAGTGTGATTTGAGCCATACAAAATGTGTGGCTCCAATCGCACCACACACATCGCATGTGATTTTCACAGGAATGCAGCGCAGTTCCTGTGCAAATTGCATGTGATGTACCGCACCACATTAGTGTGTGCCCCTAGCCTGAAGCTACATATAGGCACTATAGAAATTGGGCAAATTTGTACTATTTTATTTTTGCAGCTGTTATGTATTTACAACCCAGTGGTTCATTGTGGTACGGTCTGGGAAGCTAGGAATTTCAAGTATGCCGTATCAGTGGCTCTAATCTTGGCTTTATAAAACATCCTCCACATTCTTCAGGCAGAGACTGAATTAAAAATGTTGGCCTAACACAAAAAAAGGTATTGTTTAAGTGAGGGCCAGCTGAAAATGGTGCCACAAATTAACATACTTGCTGGATCTAAAAGCATGTATGAATGGCTTAGTGAAGACTGAGATTGAGCTTTGCAGTTTTCTTCCTGGGTACAATCCTGCATAATGTGGTTTTTTTTTTTTTTTTTTTTTTTTTTTTTCCCACCCCACACTGTATGGCATTGCACCTGCAATCAGCAGATCATGGGTGCAATGCCTGGATCCTGCAGACACTCGGTAAGCAGTCTGCCTGTACTTTGTGTAGGCAGATGCTGAATGGATGGACCAAGAGTGCGCACCAGCTCTCTCACAGTTCATTGAACTACAAGCTGAGGGTGGCAAAAAAAGTTTGTTCATACACAGAATTCTATGAATGACGCAGCTGTGTGGATGGAGCCTTACACGACCCTGCTGTTGTCAAATTGTGACATTGGCCACAGACAGATGAACCCCAGCCCACTGTCGCAGGAGGTGGGGGAGAGGAGGCAGGAGCTGCAACATGTTAGATGTTCAAGAGGTAAAAAAAAACTTGTGGGGTTTTTTTTTTTTTATTTTTTTTTTAAGCTATCAACAAAACTGGATCAGTTATCGAGCTTAGATTGCAGAAGCAGGACAATAACCCTGTAATTGTATGGGACTTTTATGTAGGTTGAAGACAGTGTAAATGGGCAGGAAGTCTCGTGCTTGCACAGTGAAACCTTTTTGTGAATTTTTTTTTTTTTTTTTCTCTATTTTTTTAGAGCTTCCAGAAAATTGGACAGATACCAGAGAAACGTTGATGGAAGGAATGTTATTTCATATAAAGTATTTGGGCATGACATTAGTAGAACAACCAAAAGGGGAAGAGTTATCTGCTGCTGCGGTGAAGAGGATTGTAGCAACAGTAAGTGCAGTATTTCCAAATGTTAGCATTTCAACTCCAAACTTCTCTTGCACTCCAGTTCTCTAGCAGGCATTGCAGAATATTTCAGCCACACTTGTTTAGTAATCAAGTATTCAAAGTAGAATAACTTGGTTTGCTGACAGATTCTTTTTACTTTTCATTTCATAAATGGAACAAACTTGGAGTTTTGCACATGATGGGTTTTTAGGGCACATTCACAACATGCAGGTTGATTGGCATTAATTGGAGAGCCTGATAACTGTTTTTGTCTATTTTGAAACACATCAGTCTACTTCAATATATTTTTGTACATAAACTGAAAGCTTCATGCATATAAACATTTTGTACCTGACAAAACATGATCCAATTTGCTTACAGGGGACAACACATTCCATCGGATCCCTTAACTCAATCTGATCTTTCCAGGAGCAACAATTTCTGGTGCGATTTTATACATGTTAATAGCTGTTTTCAATGTACAGTGGATACAAAGTCTACACAACCCTGTTTAAAATGTCAGGGCTCTGATGTAAAAACATGAGACAAAAATAATTTCAGATTTTTCCACCTTAATGTGACCTATAAACTGTACAACTCAGTTGAACAACAAACTGAAATCTTTTAGGTGGAGGGAAGTAAAAATAAATTAAAATGGTTGCATTAGTGTACACACCCTTAAACTTTTTTTTTTTTTTTTTTTTTTTTTACAGAAATTTTTGGGTATGAGTGTATTTGCATGGCACATCTTGACTTGGCATTATTTGCCCACTCTTCCTTGCAAAAAACATTCCAAATCTGTCCAGATTGTGAGTGCATCTCCTGTGCACAGCCTTGTTCAGATCACCCTACTGATTTTTGATCAGATTCAGGTCTGGGCTCTGGCTGGGCCACTCCAAAACGTTAATCTTCTGGTGAAGCCTGTCCTTTGATCTGGATGTATGCTTTGAGCTGTTATGCTGAAAGATGAAGTTCCTCTTCATGTTCATCTTTCTAGCAGAAGCCTGAAGGTTTTGTGCCAATATTGACTGGTATTTGGAACTGTTCCTAATTCCCTCTGCCTTGACTAAGGCCCCAGTTCCAGCTGAAGAAAAACTGCCCCAAAGCATGATGCTGCCACCATCATGCTTCACTGTGGGTATGGTGTTCTTTTGGTGATGTAGTGTTTTTGTGCCAAATAGAGCTTTTTGGAATTGGGGCTCATGTGCCAAATAGAGCTTTTTGGAATTGGGGCTCATGTACCAAATAGAGCTTTTTGAATTGGGGCTCATGTACCAAATAGAGCTTTTTGGAATTGGGGCTCATGTACCAAATAGAGCTTTTTGGAATTGGGGCTCATGTACATTGCAGTTGATAAACTCCCATTCAGGAACTTTTCTGTGTGTTTTTAATCCATTTTAAATTTCTATTTAGGCCAAAGCAAGCGGTAAGAAGTTACAGAAGGTTCTTCTAAAAGTTACTCCTAGAGGAATAATACTTTATGACAGTATCACAAACCAGCTAATAGAGAATGTGTCAATTTACAGGTGAGTAGATTTGTGTTGAATTCTTTGCACATGTCATGCAGCCACAGTTTCCTTTTTTTTAGGAATGAGTGTTTTTCTAATACTGAGAAAATGACACTAGACCACATTCAGCAGTGTCCTTACTGTGTTGAAATAGCTGTGATCTATTTTTCCCACAAATAGCTTTCTTTTGGTGGTATGTGATCATCACTGGGTGTGTTTTTGGCACTATAAACAAAGGCCAAAATGTAAAAAAAATTACTTTTCTTCTATAAAACATCCAATGGAAAAATTTTAATCACATTTCTGAATACATGTAGGCCAAAATGTATTCTGCTGCTTATTTAATTGGTTTGTGCAAACCTTTTATAGCGATATTGCAGTAGACTGTTTCCCACTTTCTGGGAACCAGAACCAGTGACACTAATACAATGATCAGAGCTAAAATTCTACTCACCATACTAACCCTAGTTGGGAAGGGGTTAAACCTCTAGGGCAATCAAAGGGGTTAACTGTGGCTAGCTATGTGTTGTGTACACTGGGTGCTGTTTTTACTAGGCAGTCTGCTAGATTTATTCCCTGCCTTGCAGTGAGAGGAAAATCTAGCAGATCACCACTGACAAAACACAGCTCTGCCTTGTTTATAGACAGAGCTGTGTCCTGTCACTATCCTTGACTATCAACAAGTGCTGATGGTCATCCATTAACTGGCACCTGTTGGTCGGCTTCTGCTGTGACCAATCATGGCAGAAGCGGCGCATGCGTCAATTACAATTTAAGGCGAACCTCCCAGGAAATATATAATTTCACGAATAGTGAAAACCATTAAAATGCTTTTAAATGTATGGGCTGCCTTAACACATCACATATTAATGTGCAACATAATGCCTAATGCTAACTATCCTTTAAAATATTTCCTATCCCACCTCCTTAATCTGCATACCCTGTGCATTAACCACTCCCAGTCCGGACACTTTTTTACCCCTTCCTGTCCAGGCCAATTTTCAGTTTTCAGCGCTATCACACTTTGAATGACAATTGCACAGTCATGCAACACTGTACCCATAATTTTTTTTAGCTTTTTTTATTTTTACATACGGTCACCCTAGCAGTACAGTGTCACCATGGTGAAACTGTACTACTTGTGGGGGGTGATGGATGTAAAAGATGTAGGAGCAATAATTTCTCCTTCTCTATAGCTGCATTTTTGCAGCCATTGAGAACTGAGTGAGCTGTGATTGGTCACAGCGTGTCACATGGTACAAGGCTGTTGTGAATAGCCTTGTACCATGTGACCTCTATGATCATTCACAGATTTCACACGTAGTAAGCAATGTCACAAGTGACATCTTGCTTACTACTCTGCATGTGATCGGGACCGCGGGCACCAGATCGCGGTGCTGCGCGCTCCCAGGGAGCGCGCACAAGCAGGGTGCGGGGAGGCAGTTTTCTAAACGGCCACCTGACCCTGCACTGCCACCGTCCAGCTGTTTTTATATACAGTGGCCGGACGGGAGGTGGTTAAGGAAAAAATTGTGTACTTTCCATGGCCCAGCCATTGTTGGTACTGCCTCCTGTCCCCTGTATTAGCTGCTCACTGACGTGGGATCTTGAGCTGCAGGATCAGAAGACTGGAGCAGATTAAATAGGTACAAATATTTTATTCCCACCCCTTACGCACCTTTTTATAATGGGTAACCTCTGACCAAGGCCCAGTGGGCGGGGTGAAACTCATCAGGGGCATGGCCCGAACAGCACTGGCTGAATCCACATACCATAACTAACATTTCTAGAGCACTGGGTTGGCTTGAGTGGCATCTCATTTTAACACTTTCATTTTTAATCTTTATACTTTTTGATGCCTCAACATTTTATTGTTTGTACAACTGTAAAAATTGCTGAAAACATAACTTTGCCTGTATTCTTTATCACCTTTTCTGAATTGTGCATTACAGGACACAGGGTGGTGTTCAGAAATGTAGGGTAATGCTTCCACCTTTTTTTTTTTTATTTTTTTTTTTAGGTGTTTTATAAGCTTGACGACGAAAGCTGCAAGGCTGCTCAGTTTAACTCCTCACTCCCACCAGGTATTGTCCTGCTTAGGAGCTGAATGTCTGTTGTGGGAGAAGCTTAATGAATTTTTTTTTTTTCTTCTATAGCAAGATTTCTTTAGTCAGTGCAGAGCCCTTGGGGTCCATTATTTTGCAGCTTTCCATATCTGCTGATTCTCTGCATAGTTGTGGAGGTTGTCTCAGACCCTGCTGTGAGGAAGGCACCAGATGGGCCTGCAGTGTGCCTGGACACTGTATTAGAACACTCCTTGGTACCTTAGGTGCAACATGGGGAAGGAGCAGCAGCGTGCTTTTACTGGTCCAGAACCATGGTTTGCACTTCAGTGGAACCCTGTTTTTTCTGTAGGCTCCTGAGAGTTTCACTGCTAGGAAAGTGAAGACTAATTGGAGTCCTGAAATCTGCCTGTTTTTTCCTTCTGTGTGGTGGTGATTGCACCAACATTGGTAAGTAATGGCCTTTATTTGGAAGCCCTGGGTGTATGCCCGTCCTTTATAACCTAATGGGTATTGTGGATTCTCCAGCTGCAATACTTTCAGGAAGAATGCTACTATACCCATAGACACACTCCTAAACCTTGTGGACAGCCTTCCCAGAAGAGTTGAAGCTGTTATAGCTGCAAAGGGTGGGCCAACTCAATATTGAACCCTACAGACTGAGACGCCATTAAAGATCATGTGCATGTAAAGGCAGGCATCCTAATACTTCATCTAGTAAAGATGGAGATTAGTGCTCAACAAAAAAAAAAAAAAAGTGTACTCCTTTATGCTATCAATCGCAACTAACACTAAAAACGGTTGTCAATTTTGGAAATTGTCCTATAGTATTTTTGTTTAGCTCAAAACTACTACATCTAGTATTTTTGTATCTTCTCCATGATTTTGTAAGAACAGCACCAAGGCATGGAATGAACAAGTTGGTGACATTGTAAACTATCTTTTTCCGTTCTTTAAGACCTCCTTTTTTTTTTTTTTAGAGCCTGGAAACTGGATGGAGAGGGATGCTCAACTTGTCTCTTCAGAATTCCCCATAGATGTTCGATTGGGTTCAGATCAGGAGACATACTTGCCACTGAATCATTCACCCTGCTGTTCTTCAGAAATTCAACTGTGGCCTTAGATGTGTGTTTGTGTCATTGTCATGTTGGAAAAGTGCATGCCAACAAATGGCGCAGAGTGATGGTAGCATCTTTCAATATAGAGCAGTAAATCTATGAATTCATGATACGATTAATGAAATGCAGCTCCCAGACACGAGCAGCACTCACGCAGCCCTACAGAAGGACACTGTCACCACCATATTTCACTGTAGGCACCACACATTTTTCTCTTTACTACTCACCTTTGCAATGCCATACTGTTTTTGAAACAATCAGTTTCAAAAACATTCATCTTGGTCTCATCACTCCAGAGTACAGTCCCAGTAGTCTTCCTTTTCAGCATGGGCCCTGGCATATTCTAGGTGGGCTTTTTTGTGCATAGGCTCTAGGCGAGTGTTCCTTCGTGGATGACACCCATGTATGCCATGCCTCTGCAGTGTACACCGCATTGTGTCACGGGAAACAATCACCCCAGTTTGGATTGCTACTTTAGCTAACTGAACTTGCATGGCAATTTATTTTTGTCTTTAAAGACCATAGGACAAAACCAAACTAACTTTTGTATGGGTGCTATTTACAAATTCGTCGCATATATTTGGTTTTAAAGCCGAGAGTGGAGTGAATTACATTACGCTCACCCTTTTCTAAGGCCACTCAGAATTCAGGCTAAGGTCTATATTTGCACTGGTGTGTTTTGCATAAAGGTGGGGTGGATGGTGACTGAGGGAACCACAGAGGCAAATGGTTATCGGTGGGGGGGGGGGGTGTTTATACACATGGCATCTGAATGTGTTGAATACACTGAAGAAAGGAATCGGATGAAGTTAAAGGACCTTTTGTCAATTTTTGATATTGAATGCTTTATTGGACCTGATTTCAGGAAAGTTCTATCCATCTAATGAGATCCCATTAGAAGCCCCCCCCCAATTGAGACTTAAAACATATAATGGCAAGGTGTCATCTTTCTCTCAAAATACACTATCAGTTTGGTGCTTCTTGGGCCTCAGCATTAGTAATCTTTCTCAGTTATGCGTGGCCGCTACCTGTTCACAAATGTGCTTTTTGCCAGGTAGATTTTCAGGCTGCCTACTAGCTTCGATCGCAAGGTTCTTTAGGCAGCACTGTGAGTTTTTGTAAGTCCTTGTGTTAGCCCAGGGTTTCTCAACTAGGGTTCCCTGGGACCTCGCAAGGTTGCTAGGGGTTCCTTGAGCAACTTCTACCTCTCAGTAACTACTTGTAGCAATGATATTTTGGCTAAGGGTTGAATTTTTCTCTCAGTTACCTCAAATGTAAGGTGTATTCTTCCCAGTAATCACACTAATGTGTCATGTGTTGAAAATCTAGTAATTAGCAGGGGCCAGAATTTTTTTTTTTTTTTTTTTTTTTTTTCCCCCCTCTCCCAAGGGTTCCTCCCATGTTGAAAAGGCTGAGAACCTGTGTTGGCACACAGGTGCTGACCTTCTGTTTATGGTCTGCGTCCACTATGTTTGGGTTTTTTTTTTTTTACAGAAAAAAGGCAAGCTGGTAATTGGGGCAGTTACATGGGCTCTTATGCAGGCCATAGACGGGTCGTTTATCAGCTGAATTTGCGCCTGCACGAAAAATCGGCTGAAAATCAGTTAGTGGGGCCAGCTCGTCGGCCGTTTTTTTTTCGTTGATCTCATTTATTTTTATCGGCCATGCTGGAAAATCCACGATTTTTTGTTTATCGGCCGATAAAAAGCCTGTCTATGGCCTGCCTTAAAGCTTTTGTTGCCAGTGTCCAAATTGCATAAGGCAGCATAACCTAGTTTGAGTACCATTCTGTGTCTTGTAATTTACTTCAAAAGGAATTTTATAGGCAAGACCAAACCTTTTTTTTTTTTTTTTTCTTTTTTTTTATTTATTTATTTTTTTTTTTTTATTTTTCAGGATATCATATTGCACAGCTGACAAGCTACATGATAAAGTTTTTGCCTACATTGCTCAGAGCCAGCAGAATGAAACCTTGGAATGCCATGCATTTCTCTGCACAAAACGGAAAATGGTAACCTTGATATTGTGTGAATTAATGGACCACTAAATATAATCCTGAATTTATGGAGCCTAGATGTAACCTTTCCTGACACTTTATTTTTTATATTTTTTTTTTTTTTTTGTGTGCATTACCTTTCAGTTTTTTGTTTTAGAAAGTGTGTGTAAAATGGTTGCTTGAAGCAAAATGAATTGAATTATCTTACTGTGTAGTGGTTTTTTTGTTTGGGTTTGGTGTGGTTTTTTTTTTTTTTTTTTTTCATTTGGTATAAATGACAGATTTGCCATTTTTTAAAGAACTCCTTCCAAATAGGTGCAACTTGAAGCCCAACTCTGGGCAAAACTTTTTTTCTTCATGCAGAGGGGTAGTGCCCACACTGCGTGGGTCAACTGCTTGTTTTTTTCTAGGGGGTGAGAACAAAGTTTATACTAATCTAATGATCCTCCAGAAAACCATGCTTCTCAACGATCCACCGGTGGACTGTTTAGTCTATGGAACATGCTGACATCAGGGACAGTCCATTTTCAAGACCGCTGGAGCACAGGGGGTGTTAGCCTGGTCTTGTGTGGGAAGGCTCCAGCAGCTCAGGTATGTATATATCTGCTTTCCTCTACCCTAGAATAAAATCAGCAGTTAACCAGTGCAGGCACAGCCCCATTGCACAGAAAAAAAAAAATTTGCCTGGAGTTCAGCTTAACTGTATCTGAGTACCACAAACAGAGTTGACAAATCACTTTGGAAGAAACACCCCCTAGCATTTCTAGCTATGACCATCTTGAGTAAGGGCAAATTCATTTATCATTTACTTCTTGGAATACATCTGTCCTTTGCCAAGCATGCCCACCTATCTTTATGCCTGAGCTGAGAGCTCCCTCCCCAAAGATGGGTTTAAAAAAAAAAAGCCATGAAGAATCCGGGATGTATGAAATAATTTTGGCCTAGGCCAGAAAGCAATTGAAGAAATGTTCAAAACACGTTTTATATAACATACCTTCTTTTTCAGTGTGAGGATTAATATCTAGTGTGTTGGGTTTTTTTTTTGTTTGGGTCATCTTGGCTCAGCAATCTTTTGTATGGTGTGCAACTTGTGTGGTTTTTGTATGTGTAGTAGTAAGTTTGTTTCTTTTTCCTACTTTTCTAACGCAAGCAATGTGTGCATTATTCCTAAAAAGACCTTCTGCTCTT